AACTCACATTCACGAAAAACAAGATTTACGCAGAAAAAATCATTTAAATTTTATCAAAAATGACTTACAAACTTCACCAACAAATAAATAACAATGAAATCACTTATAACAAAATACAAAAGAGGTTCTATAGGAATAACACAATCGACATTAGAACGCTTTGTTCAAAAAAACAAAGTACACAAAATTGAACCAAATTCATATGATGATATTATAATAAGTGTTGGCGAATTAAAATTATTATTCAAAGATGAGCAAAATGGAATACTTATATTTGGAAATAGCGAACAATTGACAATGTTAGCAAGATGCAAAGAAGTGTTTATGGATGGGACTTTCCGGAGTTGCCCCAAACAATTTTATCAGCTATATACACTGCATTGTCAATTACAAAACAACCAAACATTTCCGGCAATTCACTGTTTGTTGAAAAACAAAACTTTAAATACATATGAAACACTTTTTAATGCCATTGAATGCTTGCTAAAAGAAATCAACTAAAATTATACTTGTTTTGGAAGAAACGTTGTTGTTGTGACTGACTTTGAGAATTCGCTTATCGCCGTTTTAAGAAAATACAAAACTTTTAATCTAGAGCACAAAGGATGCCTTTTTCATCAACGTCAAGCCATACTAAAGTTTATCAATAATGCTGGTCTTAAATGTGAGTATTCTTTAAATACGGAATTCAAAGATGCAGTGAAAATATTGGAGTCCGTGTGCTTTTTGAAAGAATAATATATTAGTCAAACAGTTGGTATTTTAACGGCGTGGTATTCTCATGTACCTTCATTTGGGATAGTTGTGGAATACTTCAAAAAAGTGTGGATAAATGGCGCGTTTCCCATTTCATTGTGGTGTCAATTTATGAGAAAAAAGAGGACTAATAATGATTTTGAGTCTTACCACGCCGCGCTCACCAGGAGGCTTGAGTTCGTGAAACCTGGTTTTTGGAAGTTAGTTGAAAAAATTGGAGAAGTGATAGAAGAGGTTAATAAAGATCTAAAAAACATAAAAACGGACATTATAAAAAATCAAACAGTAAAGTTGAAATAATATATAATACACTTAAAAATTTAACAACAAATTATTACTGTTGTGAAATCAATTTAAATTGTTTTCTCGAAAAGGTAAGTGTGTTATTTGATGGTTTGAATCATAAAGTTTACTTCGAAGTCGAAAATTGTGAACAAAACGAGACGGAACATGTTACAAAAGAAAATTGTGTAGATTGTATCAATGAAAATGTTGTTGGTATAAACACTTCAACAAATGGTGATATGTTTGAACGTAAAGACTTTATCCAACAAACAAGACTTGAAAATAAAAATCCAACTAAAATTGTTGATATTCAAAATACAAAGAAAAAAAATATACGTGAAAAAAAGCCTAGAAAAAAAAGAAGATCTGTAATCCAAGAAATCAAAAAAGAGTGTAGAAAAAACAAAAACAAAAAAATAATTAATTAATTTAATTTTTATATATATTTTAATGAAATAAAGTTAATAAAAGATAATAAAATGATAATTCAATTTTAATAATTCGGGTTGTAGTGATTATAATAGAACCGAAGTAATTCAAATGACATCATATAAACACAATAAAGAACTTTAAATTTGGTATATTTTTACATAAAACATGTTAAAAATAAATTTTTGAATACAAATGGTTATTTAAACAAATTGCATTTCAAATTCACTTTTGAAAAATACATCATTAAATTATATACTAATTAATTAAATATTATTTAATTTATAAATTTGATAACAATTGTTTATAAATTGTTTGGTTAATTGAATCAAGTATTTTTGTTTAAACAAAAATAATACTTATGAGATTTTTCCAATAATACAAAGTGTGAATTTACATGAACGTTAAGTTGTGTATTTTTATTTGTTGCTTTAAAAAGAATACCAAAATATTGTATGTATAACCAAAGTTACTAGTTCAAGTAATATTTCTATTTTATAAGATTTAATAGCGTAAAATAAAAACAAAATACACAAAGTTGTAATAATATATAAATATATTTATTCATATTTACAATTTATTTATTGTCGACAAAAATATATTTTTATAAAAACTTGACAAAAATACAACAATGAATTATTTTTAAAATTTTCTTTGTTAAAGAATAATTAAGAAATTTCTTATTATTTTTTGGTAAAATGTCGTCATCCCGATGAACACTTTTTAGATCGACTCAATTTTTGCAAGAAACAGTTGTTTAATAAAAGAATTTTAGCTCGCTGGATTAAAAACACTATAATATCAGATGAAAGCCGTTTTTGCCTTTATTCAGATGGTAATGATGTTTGGAGAAGAAAAGGTGAGTTTAATGAAAGTAATTTTGTAGTAACTCCGAAATACAACGCGGGTGTTATGGTTAGGGGAGCAATTGGCCACAATTTTAAATCAAAGGTAATGTTTTTAACTGGAAAAGTCGACTCAGAATCTTACGTTGAAATGTTGAAAACTTCTAAAACGTTTGAAAACGCGAAAGAAGTTTATAAACATGGAATGACCTTTCAGCAAGACGGTGCACGGCCACAAACAGCTCGTTCAACAATGAAATGGTTTCAGGGTATTGACTCATCATTGAAACTCAATTTGCTTGACTCATGGCCTGCTAACAGTAGGATCTTAGTCCGATTGAACATTTGTGGCATTATCTTGATGCTCTTATTAGGAAGGTGAAGAACATCTTTTTGAACATTGAAGAATTAAAGCGAGCACTCATTGAAGCTTGGGAATCAATATCATTGGAAACAATAAACAATTATATTGATTCAATTCCAAAACGATTTAAATTATGCATCGAGAATCAAGGAAAATTTATAGGACATTTGCTTTAATTTATTATTTTTTTGGTTTTTTAGAACTCAAAATTTTATTATTATTTGTATTGAAAGAGAAACCTCGAGTTTGTTTTTTGTTTGAAATAAAAAGTTAAAGAAATTGATTTTTAGTATTTTGACATAAATGATTCGGATTCAATACACTGAGATGTTTGTTGTTGTGTAATTAGCACAACTATACAGTGTGTGTTGCCCAGTAGAATATCCAATTTTTGTCTAATCAAATAACAGGATCGGGTTTTTGCAAAAGGCTGGCTAATATTCCAATAAAGTCCCGATATCGTACGAAAATAACTGAACGGGATTGGTATTTTTTTAAAATTAAGTCAGTACTTTCGATTTTTTGTTTTTTTGTTTTTTAGGAAAAACAAAAATAAAAAACGGGACTTTAGGAAGTTTTAAAAATAAGGCGGTACAGACTTTTGAACTACAGTTTATTATATTTTAGTTGAAAAATAATTCGATTTATAACCCATTTTTTTACTGTTTTAACATCTAACATTAAATAATATATGAACCTCGAAACCCTTGAATAGTTTTTAACATTTTAGTAACTTCTAAATCTAGACCAAAGCATCCCCTGACGTGGCAATTTATAAGTTTTGAGCAAACGCCCATTTTTGTCCCGTGTGTTGTATAAAGTATGAATAAACAACAGCTTAATATGAGTTATAATAGTAAGTTTATTATTATTTATTATTATTTTTATTATTTAATTATAAAATATTATTCTTTTGTTCAACCATGTTCAACTTCAACACAACCATTCAATTAAACCGTTTATTCGTTTTTCAAAGAAGCCATTGTAGTTATCTCTATTCATTCGGTTGATTCAATAAGTCACTCTTCGTTTAGCATTAAAGTGACTCATGCGGTTTATGAAAAAAAATAAATAATAATAAAATCATAGGAATGTTAGGTATAAAGTAAATGATCGATGATTATTAAACGTATTCAACAACGGAAGATAAATCAATATAAAAAACAAACTATACTTTGGCTTGGCTGGGCATTAACATATTAGACAATACTGAATGATTAATTAAGAGTTTCATATTTTATAGTTTTTTCTATTTTATTTGAAAAACAGTGTGTCTATTAATAGTTGGTCCCTGGTTTTTCAAAATAAACCAACATATCTTCCAAAAACTCGGATTTGGGGTTTTTCCATTACAAGGAAACTTTATATCAAAAATAAAACAGCTAAATTTCGTTTGATCCCTGGTTTTTCTTCTATATGTAATATAATCTCTTATTTTTTGTCAGTCTTTTTATAGATGTCGTACTGTCTTAGATCCACAAACCAGTTTTAAACAAATTATTTAAAAAATAATTTATATTAATTAAACTTATTAACACTTAAAATAAAAATTATGACATTGAAAGTATCGATGATACGTCTTTTTATTATATTGTATCGGAATTATTTTGAATTGTTGTTGATTTGTGATGATACACATGACTGTATTTATTCTAAAAATAAACATATTGTCAAAAAAGTCAATATGTTTGGGTTATTGAGACTTTAAAAACTATATTATCGAATTTGTTTTTGTTTATTTTTAGATTTTTTCAACAAACAACAAATTAATTTTTACTAAAACATTTTATTAATGATTTATAATATAATAATAATATTACATAGTAAAAAACAAACAAAACATAATAATCTGAAACAACAGATAAAAAAAATCTAATTAAAAGGGAAATAAGCTGAAAACCACAAATTAAAAAATTATGATTGAAAATAAACTAAAAATGTATAAAAATTAATTTTCGTTCGATTCAAAACATATGAAAGAAGAAAAAACTTACTTTTTGTTTTTTAATCCAAAAAGGTACAAAAAATCAAAAAAAAAATAAAATCAAAAACATGTGTGACTTTCTCTTTAGGCGTGCTTTTCCCACTTATTATTTTTTGTTAAATATGTACTATAATTTTATAATAAACTAAAAATGGTATAACAAGTTCTAAGAGTAATCTAAATACAAAAATTTTGAGAAAAAAATTAAGTTTTTATTTTTCCATAAAATGTGGAAAAAAGAGAATTTATAAATAGTAAAAACAGACAAAGTGTAAAACAATATATATGTTGTCAATTTAAACATTTGTATGTATATTACGTTAATTAATTTAAAATGATGGAAGAGTTGAATGAGACTCAAAAAAACAAAACAGGTTTAAAACATATTTTGTACAGTTTTATAATTAATTGTTGTTGTTAAAATGTGGTTATTATTGAATGTCAATATTATAACATATTTTTTATTTAATATTACTTTTTTTTATCAATTTGACAACATAATAATAATATTATAAAATGTAATTTTGTAAAATTTTTTAATTTACAAAACAATAAAACTTACACCTGTTGATGTTTACAATATTTTTAATATTGTTTTATCATTGTGATATAATGCTAATAATAATTTGAAACGAGAGGTCAGCAAACCAAACGTGTCGAACAATCGAAAAGACAATTTGTTTTAAAACATTTAAATAAAAATAAATTAATTTGGGTATATAAACGCTTTTATCAACTTGATTATCATTCTATGAGAACTTTAATCTTCTTATCATTTACAGTATTTACTGCTTTTTCAAATGAATGTAAACCACCTGTTAAAAATTGCCAATCATGTATGATGGATGATCCAACAAAATGTGAAAGATGTAATGGAGGTTATTA